TTTTTTTTTTAATTACACTTAGGTAGTTAATTAAGGAAAACTTTAAATAATCAACAAGATGTTTGACCGAGAACATCTATTCGTTACGCCTAAAAAACCTATACCTCCTAACTTTGGCTATTATAAATTGATCCTTGATGTTTTTATTTAGCTCACTACATAACATGGTTTTCTTGAAGGTAAATTTGTGGCATTTGATTCAACTGCATATAGGAAAAGTGTAAATTTGACAACTTATTTTATTTTTATTTGGTTAATTTTAATATTTAATTTTGATTCAGTTAGCTATACGCCTGTCCATAACAGTTGTAGAGCTTTAAATCGCAAAGATCTGCGAGGCACTGCCATTGTGCCCGTCACCCTGAGACATAAGTTGACAAGTCCCTTGTGCCTGTAATTTCACCAGCACCCTTACACTTCAAAACCGGAACACAGTAATACTGACATTACTGCTTGGCCGTAGAAACAGGTAAGTACTTCCATGGAGGAACTCTTTCACAAGAAGTTCCAAAGCTGTTAAAATATGTGGCATGGTGTGAATGGGGACCTTTGCTTTGTGTAAGTTATTGTACATAAAAATTCCAACTCCATGACCAAATTGTGGACGTCCTAAAGACCAGGTCAAGAGTATCCCTTACCCAGCAAGCATGTATGAAAACACTGATGCGCGTAGATGAGGCAATAGACTTGTGTCAGAATCATAGCAAATGGAAAGCTATTAACTCTACTTACCCCGATGAGAAAAGGGTGTGAATTATTATGTATGTCTGTATACTGCTTCTGCATACGTGGATGAATAAAATTCATGGCTTCTATGATATTTGAAATAAGTATTGTAAATTATAAATATCTAGTAGCAGTAGAGCTTTTTGTGAATGAGTTTGTCCAGGGATGTACTGCCACCTTACCTACTTCTGCCGCTAAGCAGTAATGTCAGCATTACTGCGTTCCGGTTTAGAAAGGTAAACAGTGCTAGTGAAATTACAGGCACATGGGACTTATCAACTTATATCTCAGGGTAACAACTCAGATCTTCGACAATCAAGAGTGGGGAACCAGGACACCTAAGACACAGGGTATCCTAGTTTAAGCTCCTATGCGTCACAAATTGAATATTGACACACAATTTTTAAATTTTTATCGAATTGATATTCAATTGTTTTTTATTTGAAATTATTCCATTGGTTTGTTACAATGCCTGTAATATCCTCTAATACTACCCGTATTAGAGAGCAAATTACAGACACATGGGACTTGTCAACTTATGTCTCAGGGCGCAGTGGCAGTGTCTCTAAGATCTTTGCGATTGAACGCTGTGAGTGGCATTGCAACTGTTATGGACAGGCGTGTCGCTCACCATCAGGCGCACGACTTCTTCATCCCGTCACTTAGTATTATAAAAGAAAATGTTTAGTTTAAAAAGAGCAAGCTCCAGGTTTCTTTCCAAACGTATTGTTACCAACCATTTACAAATGTGCCTAACTTACAAATTAATGTACCCCAACATTTTCTGAATATTATTAGTATAAACTCAAACTGAAATCGTCTTTATTTCATACGTAAGCAAATCGTCATACTTTTTTTTTTATTGTGACTCGGCAAAATGACAGCATCGCGCCCGATGGAAATTGCGAATACAGTCCAGAGATGAGAGTCACGGATGGAAAACACAAATATCTTCACTCCGTCACTATCATTTTGCCGGTCTGGCCAAATGCTTCTTCACACTACGTTTGAAGGACCCGATGTTATAGAGGGGAGGGAATACATGCGCCGGGAGTTGGTTCCACAATTTGATATAGCAGGCAAAATTTTAACACTTTTAAACGTCATTTTTTAAGCTACTGCTCGTTCACTACGGTGACCTTTCTGAGGAAGAACGAGCAAGAAACTCTAGGGATTGCTCTTTTGAAATAAACGTAAATGCCTTGGAATACAATTTGAATCATAATTGTGTGGAATGTAGACTCTTGTTGTCTTTCCATACTTCTTTATCTGACACATCGCACTGCTATTACAATAGTGTTGTAATTCAAAATATGTGAAATTCAAGATTATAACTATCGCTGAACGCAAAATTTGATTATCTGCACGTCAATAAAATCGTTGTTAAAATATTGAAAGAAACAATTAAAATAAATCTACTTAACACATGGGACAAACTTTTTGTGGACAAAACAGTCCTTACTAAAAAATATGTATAATATAATTTTCCTTTTATTTGGCAAGCAGGAAATTGTTTACATGTCTATAATAAATTAACTTTAAACTGTATACGTTTCTCATCGACTCTGAAAAAATATATTTTTTGAGTTAATATACTATTGCATTAATAGTGCGACATACTCTTCAATTTTGTAATAATGACTTTTTAATTAAAATACCTTACTTAATTCCTAAAGAAATGATAATCTTAATATATTCTCTGGAATCTCATTGTAAAAACGTATACAGTTCCCCATAAAAGAGTCGTTTGCCTTGGTTAAACGAAATCGTGGTACCATGAGTTTGGACTTAGTGGTAAGGTTAATATTATGGATATCTTCTATTTATATAATTTACAATATTTATTTCAAACATCATAATAGATCAAGACTGTACGAAAAAGCTAAACGGGTTACTACCATGAATTTTTGTCATCCAAGAACGCAGAGGCTGTGTAATAAAGTTTCAGTACAAAATTCATGTTTCACTACAGTGTTAAACCTCGTGAATAGCATTTTTTTACGTAAACAAGCGTTTTCCCAATTAAATAATGATTGCCTTTAGATAGATTTGTTTGCCATAAATTCGTGACGATTAAGTATTAGAAACAAAACTAAAATAAATTCTCCGACAAATTGTAAACCAATCGACTGTGGCTTCAGAATACAACAAAGAAGCAATAATCGAGAAAAACAAAACTTTAATTAACTTACTGTCATCGTTTAGTAATGACGCTTTTCCGTCCAGAAATTACATACGCCTTTACATAAGGATGAGACTTACATAAGCTGTATGAACGCGTATGTATGTGTGCACGAAACTGGACAGCCTGCGCGGGAGTTGAAACATGGTTCCACTTAGCCGCATTTGAGTTGAGAACGGCGTCGTGCGCGGTCGTCTCGCGCTCGTGGAAAAAAAGATCATTGAATTTTATGAAAAAGGAAAACTTTCAAATAGTGTTCTATTCTGTGTTGCCAGTGATAGACTGTGAAAGACTAGTGCTTCGGAATTGAATATTATTTTTAATAAAAAGAATTTATTACGTGAACGTTTCGAGGTATTTTCCGGTTCGGGTATGTTTTCTTTTTGCTTATTTCAAATTTTTACTGGTTATGAAACCAAGATTTCAAGTTTTTCAGCCCCTCCAAACAACACGTTGTTACGTACTATCGCAACTTTTAAAACCTTTTTCTTTTACCTTCCTATATAGACCGTCCGAAAAATACGTACAAAGATGTTTATAATTCCAAACTAAGATCACCTGTACTTATGGGTAGCTAGGTTTTAATTACGTCCATTTATTGTGTTGCCTTCAAAGAACAATATCTAAGTCTATTTAGAAATAAATTTATGATTTCGGTACATTAATAAATTAGTTACGTAATATAATTAGTCTTGCAGTAGTTTGTTTTGTTGTTAGAAAAATTCCACTTAGAATTACTTAATATTTGAAACCTCAGATGCTATGTTTAAACTAGAGGATTCAATTATAGAATGATGTAAGAAAACTTGTAAGGTGAATTAATTTTAATAAATAAAACTTACACGATTTGTTAAATTTGATATTTTCGATTACTTTATAACTACAACTTAATATTAAATGTAATGTATATACTTTGACTAGATGAAGAGTTGACAGTGTACGGTACAACCAAAATTGGTTTTTGTGACTCTGTACAATTATATTTTTTTTATAAAGCGCAAGTGCACATTTGACCATCTCACCTGATGGAAAGTGACGATGAGTAATGCCTAATCACTATCGCAAATGCCCAAGTTCAGGGAAGAAGTCTGTAGGCAGGGAATTCGCCATATAAATGTGGAAGTGTGTGCGAATCTTTGGAATAACGAAGGCGGAATTAAATCGTGTAATTCCATCGCTCATTCTCCGTGATATTATATTATAATAAATTCTGTTATGTTTAAAAATATATATTATTATCTATAAAACTAATTTATTTACCTAGAATTACAGCGTTTGCTTACTATGTCCGACTCGTGTCAGGACGTCTACCACGAAGTCCGTAACACGTCACATCCATAGAACTTAGTGCACAAGCGAGATTCTAGATTTGTACAGTCTTGGATTCTTAATAGAATTTCTTTTATAATATCAAGCGACGGCTTGAAAGAATTGTGTGCCTGACGGTAAGATACACGCCTATCCATAACAGTTGCAGTGTCCGTCAGAGCTTTAAACCGCAAAGATCTGACGGGCACTGCCACTGCGCTCGTCACCCTGAGACATAGTCAAAGTCAAAGATTATTTATTCCATAGGTAAAATAAATTTACACTTGAATACGTCACATTTAAGCTACTGCTCGTTCACTACGCTGACCTCCCTGAAAAGAACGAGCAAGAAACTCTAGGGATTGATCTTTTCAAATAAACTTAAATGCTACGGAATACACTTTGAATCAAATTTGTGTGGATTCTGGAGCCGTGTCGTCTTACCAAACATCTTTATCTAACACGTAGTCTTCAAATTTGTAATATGATTTTTCGATCAAAATATTTTTAATGTAGTTTTTAAACTTAATATAAGTTGACAAGTCCCATGTGCCTGCAATTTCACCAGCACCCTTCAATACCGGAACACAGTAATGCTGACATTACTGCTTGGCGGCAGAAATAGGTAAGGTGGCAGTACTTCCCTGGACAAGCACAATGAGCTCTATTGCTATTAATTTATTACATTTACTAGTTAAAATTAACTTTAACTAAAGATAACTAACTGGTGTAGATATTTATACATGTTTGGTTAGAAGTAAAATAAACAACAGTTAACTTTCGACATTAACAATAAAGTAATTTTCATTGTTTTAGCCGACGGGCTGTGACTTCAGTATTTTTCCCTAATAAAATATGATTCCCACGATGCTGTCACGTTGTGGCTATCACAAATTAACTTATCTTTCGTAAATAAAAGTCCACTTCTTACAGTAGACATAATACGTCTAATCAACCATCGTTACCATGACAATAAGAAAACTTATAAAAATATATAATGTACAAAGGCGTCCGTAACATATTTAATAAGGGAAAAATACTGAAGTCACAGCCCGTCGGCTAAAAAAATGAAAATCTTACGTAAACAACGGCAATGGTTTCGCAAAACAGTGACTGGACGTTTGTTACTTATTTCAGATTGTAATGTACATATTTTTTGGGTTCTTTTGGATTGTAATATCTTCTTTTAGATATTATTATATATAGACACTAGTTCCAGCTTGAAATGTAGATCAATAAACAGTACAGAGTACTAAAAAAACCAACGTCAAAAGTCATTCACCCCCTAGTTTGTCACCCTTAGAGGTGGGTTATTCAAATATAAATGGAACCACATCTGAGGTACCCTCTTTCCAACAAAAAATATCGGTTCACAAATTATCGGAGTTATCGCGTAACACACATACAAAAAAAAAAAACACATAGAGTAGAATTAAGAACCTTAAAAATTAGAATTTTTTTACATATATTTAAAGTTACCCACTCAAAATTCTCCGGCAAATCTGCTTTACGAACGAGTCATCATCAACCCATGGATACATTTCACTGCTGTCTTCGCTAAGGCGACCATGGGCCATAGGCCACCCTGGCCCAATGTGGGTTGAGAACGTCACACGTCTTTCTAGGGTTGTGAACCTTCTTCAGAGAGAGAGAGAAAGGTCGTGGTAAATTTCGAATTCCGAAAACTCAGAGGTATAAGCCCAGAACCCACGTCCTGGGTACGCAGGTCAAAACAGGTACAACGGCTTTAGTTTGATGGTTGCTGGTGGTTGGTGTGATCTTTTAAAACACCGATTCTTCTGAAATTGTCTGCAACAGAACAGCAATACCGTTCCAACTTAGCGATTTATAAGTTTAATTTTGCCTACAGGATGTTAAAGCTGATTAAATATGACCACCAATACAAAAAAATCTTATTGGTCATATCAGTATGACGTGGTACCATGACCACCAAAAAACGGCCGTTTTTTGACACATTATTGTTACTATTTTGAGTTGTTTTTCCATACAGGTGAATTTTTTACGGGAGACACGGTGCTCTCCTGCAAAAATTACCCTTAATGGTTACAAAGTAGCCAACCAATCTACATGTCAAAATGGTAGGATTATTCCAGTAAGATAAAACATCCTAAAGAACGTCACTGTCTTCTTCTTCTGTGCCTATCCAACTATTGAAGGTTGGCCACCAATTCTGCATACTGACTTCGTTCTTGTGTGTAATAATTTGCCTGAGCCAGCATTTTCTTTTTTAATTTATTATCTAAAACCAGCTTCAGTGGTCGAGTGCCTTGCACACCGGTTTTCATGGTGTCGCCGTCTCTGAGTTCTCGACTGACGGATCTAACCCGGATCCCCGGCCGATCTCACCTCTAAGCGTCTTCCTAATAGTCTAGGCTTCACAACTGTATTTTTTTTATGACACCAAGTAACGGGACGAACAAGTCGTGCGCGTGCTGGTAAGCGACATGCCTGTCCATAACAGTTACAGTGCCACTCGGCCAGCACAGGACCGTGAGGCAAAAACTTCGGGAGGCCTGTACCCCGTAGTGGGTGAAATCAGTCCGTTTATGATGTTGATAGTTATCTCAAAATATAAACCGTTAGTTAAAATGTAAATCTCCGGTGCTGAGGCACTGAGTGCAGCTGCGGTTTTAAGCGGGTTCCTGTGCGACGCCGGCGCATCCGAACGTCCGTTTGATAGCTTACTTGTTTACCTAAAAACACCCAATTGCCATTTAAAAGCACTAAAAAGCTCTATTCACATCACAGAGATTAGCACTGTGGGCACTAGGTAAGGAGGTCGCAATTTCAATTCCCGGTAAGACCAATTTGAGAAATTAACTTTTGGAATTGGTTTTTTTTGGATATTGCCCCGATATTAATTTCGTACCTCTGGTACTCACAGACAGCGCGATTTTTTTATTTATTTTGAAAACAGGTAATAGATGTGGTTGTCTATCATATTATTGTTGCTTCGATCCCTTTTTTTCACGGCTTAACCACACAATAAAGACGGATTGATTTCTTGTACGTGCTAAAGATACCCTTAAAATTAATTTTCTGATACATTGTAGAGAGCGATTATTATACAGTCAACAACGCGTTTGTTCAAACAGTGCAACGGTACAAGATCCGTCAATGTGTAGTTTGATGTACCACTGCCACACACGTGTTTAATAGACAGTGCGGTTTGTGGATTTACCGCATCTTAACTTTTATTATTAAGACTCCATGTACATATGTTGTGCGCGCTTGACCTCCATCGCACTTGATGGAAATGACGATCAGGTCGACGATGAAGCATAAATAATGCCTATTCACTCTCGCCTTGAAAAGGTTAGTTATATTGTTCAGGTAACTAGTCTGCAGTCAAGGAATTCCACTCCACAGCCGTTCGTCATAATACATGTGGAAGTGAAACGCTTTGTGAGAATCATTGGAATATCCACAACTTCTAAACTATTAACATTTGTGAATGATTAAAAGCTATGCTCTTGCTGTTGAGGAAAGTTCGTAACCGTTAGAAAACGTGTAAATATTGTAGCAATTGAGCTCTTTATGAAAGAATTCGTCCAGTGAAGCCTGTTTCTTCCGTCAAGCAGTAATGTGGCCACTGCGTTCCGGTGTTGAGGGTAAGGGTGCTGGTGAAATTACAGGCACATGGGACTTATCAACTTATGTCTCAGGGTGACAGACGCAGTGGCAGTGCTCCTCAAATCTTTGCGACTTAAAGCTCTGAGTGGCCCAGCAACTGTTATGGCTAGGCGTATAGATAGGTAGGTAGAATCTCTATTCACCACCATGACAAATACTATACACAGACACATGATACAGACATTCACTTAGACATAACACAGTTATATATTCTACTAATATATCTCTTGGAAGCCATGGTAATCAAAACGCGCAGACTCAGCGTAAATGACGCGGCTGTTCGCGACGCTGATGTTCTGCCAGGACCCTATATGACAGAGACGCCGCTCGTAAAACCCAAAACAAAACCAATTCAATTAAATTCAAATTCATTTTAATTCAATTCAAATCCAATTTAATTTCATCCAA